GCTAATTGGTAATGAGTGGGACTTTATTCATTTTCCAGCTGTGGGACTCTCAGGAGGTCTGCTGGCTTTATGGAGAAGGGATGTAACTCGGTTTGAGCTGATTACTGTTATGGACCAAGTTTTGATTGGTAGCTTGGTATTTCCTAATGCCCAGAAATGGATAGTGGCTGTTGTTTATGCTTGCAAAGACTATCATGGTAGGCGTACTCTATGGGATACCATTGGAGCCAATATTAATGCTGAATTCCCGGTGATCGTGGGGGGAGATTTTAACTGTTGTCTTGACCAATGTGAGAAGAAAGGAGGGAAAAGATTTAAATATTCAATTGGCACGCAAGAGATGGATGGGTTCCTGGTTGATAATGATTTGCATGACTTGGGCTTTTTGGGGCCAAAATTCACATGGTCTAATAACAAGATTGGCAACAGCAAGATTTGGGTAAGGTTGGACAGGGTGCTTATGAACACTGAAGGTTTGCGGCTGGCTCCCTTGTCCACGGTGAGGCATCTTCTGCGTATAGCATCGGACCACTGCCCTTTGTTATTAAATTTGTCTCCTGGCAACCCAAGGCCCAGAAGCAAATGGATTCGTTTTGAAGATATCTGGATGACTTACACAGCTACGTGGAAATTGGTGTGGAAAAACTGGAAGAAGGAAGACTACGGGCTGCCGGCTGATGTGTTGAATCGTAAGTGTCAAAGAACACTCAAGTTCTTGTTCTTCTGGAGCCGTAATCGTATTAAGGAGCTTGAGGGGCTAAAGGATTTGCTGGAAGGCCGCATTCAGGAACTACAAATGCTAGAGAGTTCTAATGTGGGTCTTAGTGAAGCTCAGGATCTGGAACTGCGTAAGTTGGTTGTGGAATTTTATTCGACTTTGGCTCAAATGGCGAGTGGTGGAGGCAGAGAGCAAAGACCAAATGGTTGGAGGAAGGTGACGCTAATTCACACTTCTTTCATTCTTTTGCTACGGCTAGAAGACGTGGTAATAGAATTGTTGAAGTTCAGAATTCTAGTGGGGAGAAGATCACGGAACAGGAGCTTATTCAACAGGAATTCTTGGATTTTTTTAGATTAAAGTGGAGGGAAAGACAGATTCAGATGGACAATTGGCCTAGTTTCTAGAGGAATGATATGATTTCTGAACAAATGAATGCTATGCTGAAGGAGGAGATCTCGGAGCAGGAGGTTCGTCAAGCAGTGTTCAGCATGGGGAACAATCGGGCTCCTGGCATTGACTGTATTACCTCTTCTTTTCTTAAATTTTACTGGGAGATTGTTAAAACTGATGCCAATAGAGCTATACTTCACTTCTTTGATACTAACTCTATGTGTAAGAGTTGGAAAGATACGTTGGTGGTATTAATTCCTAAGACTGATAGCGCCAATCAGCCTTCTAAATTCAGACCTATCAGTCTTTGCCAATCCTTTTATAAGGTGATTGCGAAGATCATTATCAATCGAATGAAACCTGTTCTAAGCAGAATTATTAGTGAAGAACAGGGAGAATTTGTACCGGGAAGGTCTATTTCCAGCCATGGATTGATTGCACAAGAGATCATGTCGAAGTTCCAGTATTCTGCTCAGAAGGAAGGGATGATGGCACTCAAGGTTGATATGGAGCAGGCCTATGACTGTATGTCGTAAGAGGGCAATATCCAAACTCATGGGGTACAGGAAGGTGGATTCTATGGAGTATCTTGGTCTTCCCTTGGTGATGAGGAGGCTGGTTGTGAATGATTTTGCTAAAATCATTAAGGGAGCTCATGAGAAGATTAACCTTTGGGGGAAGAAGCACCTTTCAATGGCAGGTCGTGCTCTTTTGATCAGAACTTCCCTGTTGACTACTCCAATGTATCTGATGACCCATACGGCTGTTCCTACTGGTGTTCTTAATTCTATTGAGAAGCTGGGAAGACGGTTTTTATGGCAGAAGAATGCTAATAGTCGTGGAATGCACTATGTTGAGTGGAAAGAGTTATGCCAACCAAGGGAGCAGGGGGGATTGGGTTTCCATGGTCTATCCTCCTGGATGGGTCCCCTTAGAGCTCGGTTAGCTTGGGGAGTAATGCAGAATGTTGATTCCCTGCTTCATAAGTTGATTAATGCTAAGTATGGTATGGACATCTGGAAGGAGGCTCAGGCTTGTAAGACGTCTATCACCTGGAAGGTGATTCATCAGGGTGCGCTGGCCCTCCGTTTGATTCTGAGATGGAAGATAGGGGATGGACAGAATATTGATGTGATGATGGATCGTTGGATCTTGGACCGTGAATTGGCAAGATGGCCAACATATGTTAATGTTCTGGAAATGGAGAATAAGAAGGTGTGTGACTTGCTGGATGATTCCTTGCAATGGAATGGGGAGGTTATTAAGCAATGCTTTGGTAGAACTATGGCTGAACGAATTATGGGAATTAGCACTTGTAATGGTAATGGGGTGGATTGTCCTGAGCTCATCCACCACCCTATGAGTATAACTCTGACTGTTATGGCTTATCGTGCTAAACTTGATGGAAACTGCTATCAGTTCAGCTAGATGAAGAAGCTAAAGCTGCACCCCAGGGAGGACTTTTTCTGGTGGAGACTTTTGAGGAATGCTATACCAACAAATTGTTGGTTATTTAGGAGGGGTCTTGCTGAAACTTCCTTTTGCCCTTGGGGATGTAATGTGGAGGAGAGCTTAGATCATTGTACTACTCAATGTGGCAAGCTGATGGAGGTCCATAGTATTTTCAACAAATGGGGATTTAGTTTGCCTATGGCTAATTCCTTGGAGGAGCTCCTTGCTATGCTTTATAGTGTTGCTGATAACAACCCTGTAGTTGGTAGAATGTGGTGTTATGCAATTTACCAGCTATGGCGGGCCAGAAATGATATGAGACATGGAAGAAATTATAGGCCACCTTCTATTATAGCTGCTACTGTCCTTTCTTTGTTGCCGAAGCCTTACAGCTCACCAATTCTTGAGCAATTGGACATTAATCAACCCTTTGGGTTGTCTTCTTTTAAGCAATGGTGTCCCCCCCTTCAGGTTGGCTGAAGTTTAATGTGGATGCAGCTTTAAAATCTTCTAATCAGGCAGGTCTTGGTGTTGTTGTCCGAAATCATATGGGATCCTTGCTTGTTTCTGCTGGGAGAAGTGTGGAGCATTGGGATGTCTGTCATGCTGAGATATTGGCGGCTGCTGCTGTCCGAGATGTTGTCAAGGACTGGATGCTGGAGGTGGAAGGAATTATTATAGAGGGTGATTGCATCAATGCTATTAAATGGTTGCAGAATACGAATGACCATCGCTACAAGGGCCACTTCAATTCGGAGGGGCCTGATCTGACATTTCTAATGGAGTTCAAACAGGTGATCTTCCGGTACATAAACAAAAATAGCAATAGGCCTGCTGATTTTTGTGCCAAATTAGCAGTCCTTGATAGTTTTTTCTTTGATGATGTTAATAATAGTGAGTTCCCCTCAGCATTGTTGACTTTGTTGAGGGAAGAAAGTGATAGGATATAGTTGTTCTTTCTTTTTTGGTTATACGTGTAATTGCTTTTGGTTCTTTGATTAATGCAAATGCAGATATTCAGCTCTTGCACTCCCTTGCTCTTTCTTGCTCTCTCTCTCTCTCTCTTGCTCTCTCCGTTGCACTCCCTTGCTCTTTCTTGCTTTCTCTCTCTCTCTCTCTCTCCCTCCCTCTCTCCCTCCCTCTCTCTCACTCTTTCTCTCTCTCTCTCCCTCTCTCTCTCTCTCAATCCCTCCATCTCTCTCTCTCTCTCTCTTGCTCTCTCTCTTGCACTCCCTTTCTCTTTCTTGTTTTCTCTCTCTCTCTGTCCCTCTTTCTCTATATCTCTTTCTAGCTCTCTCCCTTGTTCTCTCTTTCCCTCTCTTATTCTTTCTCTAGCTTGCTCTCACTTGCTCTCTCTCTCTCTCTCTCTCTCTCTCTCTCTCTCTCTCTCCCTATCTCTCTCTCTCCTGCACTCCCTTGCGCTTTCTTGCTCTTTCTTGCTCTCTCTCTCCCTCTCTATCTCTCTCTCCCTCTCTATCTCTCTCTCTCTCCCTCTCTCTCTCTCTCCCTCCCTCCCTCTCACTCTTTCTTGCTCTCTCTCTTGCACTTCCTTGCTCTTTCTTGCTTTCTCTCTCTGTCTCTCTCTCTCTCTCTATCTCTCTCTAGCACTCTCCCTTGCTCTCTTTCTCTCTCTTATGCTTTCTCTAGCTTGCTCTTACTTGCTCTCTTTCTCTCTCTCTCTCTCTCTCTCTCTCTCTCTCTCTCTCTCTCTCTCTCTCTCTCCCTCCCTCTCTCTCTCTCTATCTCTCTCTCCCTCTCTCTTCTCTCTCTCTCTCTCTCTCTCTCTCTCTCTCTCTCCCCCTATCTCTCTCTTGCATTCCCTTGCACTTTCTTTCTGTTAATCTCTCTCTCTCTTGCTCTCTCCCTTGCACTCCCTTGCTCTTTCTTGCTCTCTCTCTCTCCCTCTCTCCCTCTCTCTCACTCTCTCCCTCTCTCTCTCCCCCTCTCTCTCTCTTGCTCTCTCTCTCTCTTCCTCTCTCTCTCTCTCCGTTGCACTCCCTTGCTCTTTCTTGCTCTCTCTCTCTCTCCCTTTCTCTCTCTCTCTCTTGCACTCCCTTGCTCTTTCTTGCTCTCTCTCTCTCTCTCTCTCTTGCTCTCTCCCTTGCACTCCCATGCTCTTTCTTACTCTCTCTCTCTCTCCCTCTCTCTCACTCTCACCCTCTCCGTCTCTCTGTCTCTCCCTCTCTCTCTCTCCCTCTCTCTCTCTCTCCTCTTTCTCCCTCTCTCTCTTGCTCTCTCCTCTTTTTTTTTTCACGGGCGATTTTTGGTCCGCTCGTCGGGTCCGTGAACTTGGGTGGTTTCGGCCGTCTTTGGGGATATGGTTGGGGGTGACCGACGGTCACCCCCTTGTCATCCTTCTCGGAGCGGAGGTGGGAGGAGTTCTCGGAGGGAAGGGGTGCAGAGACTAGGTCGAGTCGGCGTGATGGGGGGCGAAGTAATGCTGGGAGCAGATCTGGGGATTTGATCCCGGTTTCTTCTCCTGATCTTACGGGAGAGGTGAGATCTCCTTTATCTAGGTTGAATGGCTCGGTCGAAACTGTGGCGGCCAGGAAGGAGCTGGTTTATGCTAGATCCCCAGTCAAGGCGAAGGGGACGAAGATGGCGAGCTCGGGTCTCACTGCGAATGTCACCAAGGTGGGGGCATCCTCCTCCGCTATGGTGGAGGGAGTTGAAGATGGGCCGAAGGGTCCGCTAGCTGGAAATGGGGGTGACGGACTAGGGGGTCGTCTGGTGACTTCCACACCTGATGGCATTACCTCAGCTCGTACTAGGGATGGAAGGGAAGCATCGGAGGTGGTTATGGCTGACCAGGACATGGAGCATCAGGGCACCGGTGTGCCGGGTGCGGGAATGGAAATATTGGGGGGTCCGGAGGCGGAGGAGTTCCTGATGGAGAACAAAGCCAGCACTGTGATGGGAAATGCTATGGATGGTTCCTGTGTGATCGAGGCTGGAGCTGATGCATTTGTTGCTGGAGGACCGAGGGGACCGCAGAGTGGGATTATTGTGCCGACTCGTGCGATTCTGCCCCCTATGGTGGGTATGACGGTGGATAACCCCACGGTGAAGCCTGAACTTCCCAAGTTTACGTTTGGTAAACTAAGTCGGATTCAGGATCTATGCAAGGTTGGCGTGCAGGATGCTGGATTGACTCTTGGCAGTAATGGGGAGGGGGGTGAACTACCTCCTACTTTTTGTAGTGGCCACGGCCATACGGCTGGGGGTGAGGACAAAGCGGAAGGTCCTGCG